GCTCCTGGCTTTCTCCATGGCTTATCTTCTAAGGAGTCTATACTAAATTCATGTACTTGTATTCCATTAATAATTCCAGCTTGTTCAAAATCATCAATATAAATTTTCCTTGTACCTGTTTAGGTTTATCGCATTCGGAGCACCAGCAGCAAGTAGAGGTGCCCTTTGCTAAAGGCATTGTTGGTGTTATAAATATAAATAAATACACACACACGCAATATATATATATATAATATATATATATATATATATATATATATGAATAAAGTCTAATAATAAGGCATAATATCATAAAAAAAACATTTTATATCAACTTTAAACATTTATTTTTTATTTCACTATCCATAAGATTTAGCTATAATCCCAGCCTTCATTCAGTGGAAATACTTGCTAATCTTAATGCTAAAAGCAGAAAAGTTAATAACCATGGCATGGGATATGTTAATACACTACATAAAAAGTACAAACAGAAACATGAAATAAGATTATATTGGTTGTTGGGAAAGGACTTCGTTTTTATAGACATTTTGTCAAGTTATTTTCATATCAAAAACAAATAAATCATGTATTGGCTGTTCTGATTGAAATTTTTTTGTCATATTTCTGGTAGTAGCATAATTCCTATACCATAAACTTTTTGGTCGTTATTGGCAAAAAACTGATCAGTGTTTTTTGAACTCATTTGAGGTAAATGTTTTACAGCTAACATTTTTTTTAGTGACCAGAACAAATAATGGTCCGATGATGCCAGGTTTGGAGATTTGATGGATGTTGCAATGAACGTTTTTGGCGATGAGCAAACTTATGTGAGGTGGTGTGTCTTGCAATACTATACTTAGCAATTGCTTGCTTCATCAGCAATTGCGCGAAAAAAATTGATAATTTTCATGACTTTTCAGACGGGGAACGCGGACGCCAGTGCGGCGACACAGGTTTCTTTCTATGAGAACCATACATGGAGCTTCAAGAAAAATTCCATATCTTTTAAGTGGTGATGTATTATTATAGGGTTAAGTATAATGTTAGCTTGAACAAAATACAATGAATCCTCTGTTGTAAAAAAAAACAAAGTGGCTTTCCGAACAACCTTATATATTGACACAGTTTTTTTCTTGAGTCAATTTTTGTTGTTATATAAGTATTTACGTCTATTATTTATAAATGAGTTTATAATGTTCATGGGGATCAATATGTTGATATCATTTTCATCAATTTCTGTCCATGAACATTTTTGACTGAATTTTGTTTGAGATTTTTTGCTGAACATATTTGGTTAGATATTTGATGGATTTGAAGGAATTAAACTTTTCCCAATTTGATCAATTTTCTTTATTTTATTTTTTCACAATGTGGCATTCAAAATACATGTAATTAAATTTTCCACATTATGTAGAAATAATGAAATTTATTTTGACAAGTAATTTGCTGTTGTTTCTAAAATAGCTCAAACACCAAACATTTGCTATCTACTATAATAAAAAATGGCATTTTTGTTCAGAAATGATTGGGCACAGCTAGTAATTATAAATATTTTTTCAATATTTAACTATGCAGATGTAAAAATAAAATTAAAAAAAAAAAGGATAGTCAATACGTCAGGTGTATGTATAACGCACTGAGAGATTCGTTTTGACTATAAACAATATCATCATGCAATGTTTCATTAAAATCCAGTTGTGTAAACCTAAATATCAGTTGTTTTAATTGATTTAATTTTAAGAAAAGTTGTGAAAATAAGTTTGAAAAATTACAACTGATTGTAGCTATAAAAGTAATAGATAAATTATTTATACCTTCACATTTATCCCTGCATATGAAGGACCTGATTTGATATCTCCTATAACAACATTAATATCATCATCGGATTCACTATCACTATCTGCATTTGAATCATGTTTGCTTTCTTCTTCTCCATTCTCATTATCTCTCTGGTCAATAGGTTCCTGAACATCAAAGTGTTCCTATAAATGAAAGTATTATAAGGTTACTATGGTTTTTCTCATCATGAAGAACAGGGTCATATTTTCCAAAATATAATTAATTTACCCAATACTAGGGAGTACTCAATACTAGATATATATACCCAGTAAAAACCGGGCGGCGGTAGCAATCTGAAGTACACATTGATTATACATGGGTGTCACAGCACCGAAGGAATGCTTGGAGATTTCACAGTGCCGACGCTCACGTCACACGGTGTTTACTGGGTATATATATATATATATATATATATATATATATATATATATATATATGGAAATGGGAAAAACTCTCACACTACTTCTTTCCTGAATCGAGTCGGAGTTTGACTCAGCTCACGGACCTGCCCTAGGGCAGCACTACCCATTATTATTATTATAAATATATATATATATATATTATATATATATATATAAATATAAATATATAGTTTTCTTAAAAAATATTTCATAAAATAGTTACTATTTACTATTGACGACTAGATAGTGTTACAGTAAAGCTGTAATTTTTAATTACTTTAGTTCTGTCACTATTCCCAAAGTAAATACTCTCAATTTAAATTTAATTAAACCAAAATAAACTTTAAAACTGCACATATTTTCCACCTCACTGAAAGGTCGTTTATCATTACGAGCATGGTACTGAAATTATGATGGTAAAATATATGAAGCAAAAACTAAAAACATTTACATGACGTTAAAACAAATCTCAGTTAAGAAATTTTGGCAAAATTAGTTCCAGAATTGTCAATGATAGAATTAGTTACCTCATCTACATGTTCATTATGTGACTCTTCTTTCTCCTCCACAGGTTCTCGCTCACAATTATTTTCGTTTGTTTCTTCTTGATTTATTATCATTCTCTTTTGCTACATGATCTTGAGAGTCAGCATTGGATTCCCCATAAAGCCAGCTATCTTCTTTCCTGAATCATCAGCCATCTCCAGAGAAATATGACTTATTCCACAACTTAACACATTTTCAGAATTCAACAAATGCACTTTTATTCGCCCCGAAAGCTACAAACTTTTACTAATGTTAGAGCCCTAAACAATACTAAAATTTAATTTGGTAAGAGCCAATAAAAGCGGCAAAACTGCCGGTAATGCTAATTTATGTCTGACATTAACAGACAATGTAATAATGCTTTTGCCGATATTTTCATTTGCAGGGTTACCAGAAAAGAATCGCTATGTGTGTGACAATGAAATTGTATAATGGCCCGTCTCCATAGATAAGTAAATATAAGTAGATCGCTATCTGAGGCCATTTGACATTACCTCCATTTTAATATTTTTAGCGATCTGAAGAAGGCAGCACTTGTTCAGTATATAAATCAACCGCTGGTACTATTCCTAGATATGGTTCGCATACGTAATTCAAAATAAGAAAACCTAAATAATTACTTATATTGGAAATGAGAAAAAAAACATACGAAGTACAAAATATATTTTCAAATATATCACAAACATTTTTACATAACAATTAAAATTTTTATAAATGTAATAATCAATATATACATAATAATAAGTATTATAATTTTACAATTATAAGTAACTAAAAAAAGTATTCACAATGGTATGATAAATTTACAAGGAACGATCAATATGAATTACTTAATGATCAACAATATATAACAACTACACAGAAATATTGTAAAAGCTTTCATAAGTATAATGAATTTACACGAACTGACTAATATTCATTTCTTACTGACTAATAATAATATATTAAAAAGAGAAGAGAAAAGTATAGAGTCTAAGTATGTATAGTTTATAGAGTATATACTATAGATAATGGAATAGTATAATTAGAAGAAATGATAAATAATAAAAAAATTTAAAAAGTTAAATCCTACAGACATAAAATATATATATTGATATCAAAATTGATGAAAAACTAAATTCCAAGAATTAAAATTCATTTATGAGTCATTCTTCTTTAACATTAACTTTGCATTTGATAGTTATTTTGCTTTCCAATCAATCATTAATAAAGCTGCATTCTACAAAATCTTGAATTTCTTATGATTCGATTGTGTCAATAGAACAGTGCAGCAGTTCTTTTGGCTGGAATGTTAAGAATATTTCTGAGCATCTTATACTCTGTTGCAATTTATACCTTGAATTGTTGCATTGTTTGTCTATCCTTCTTAACTCCCTCAACATATAATGGATGTGTCATACATTTTGCATGCCCTCGGCATCCTTAGTCACTAGATTCTGCTGCAATTTGTATTCCCAAGAACATCTAATAAACATAACATGTAATATAATATCAAGTCGTAATAGCAAATGGTATTACAATATTCAGAATTATTATTACCCTTTCCACTGGAGTTGCAGAGTGTTCTCCTGGGCATATATCAGATTGTCTTTCTCTTCTTATATCACTAATATTACTATACTGTGAACTATAGATATGAGAACTATTCTGTTAAATATAATTGGACATTTCTAATTTGTTTACTTCATAAAACCGGAAAAAAGTGCATTTTTTTATTAATTCTGAAGTTACTACAATTTGGTGCGTTACATTTTCTTGTTATTATCTCTCTATTTAATAGTTATTTTGCTATCTATTCGATCCATAGATAGAAGAAGAGTATCAATGAATCAATCATTAATAAAAATAATTTTAATAAATTAAACATACTAAATACAAAATATATTCTCAAATATATCACAGACATATTTTTGAAGAATTATAAACTAAACAGAAATAACTGACTACTATTAATTAAAGTATATTACAGACATATTTTTAAATTACTACAAATTAAAGAGAAATAACTTATTAATATTAATTACTTAATGACTAATTAGGTAAGTAATTAATATATTATATATTAAAAACTTAAAAACTAAGAAGTGAAAAGCGCAGGAGTATTGACGGTGGAATGACAAATTTAGAAGGAATGACAAGTAATGCAAAAATTTAAAAGCATAAAAAGAACAGCAAACTTTTAAAAAAGAACCAATACTTCCCAAAGAAAATAATCCTAAGAACAAAAAATATATATATTGATATCCAAATTGAGAAAAAACTAAATTACTAGGATTAAAATTAATTTACGAAACATTCTTTTCTATTATCTCTCTATTTAATAGTTATTTTGCTATCTAATCGATCCATAGATAGAAGAAGAGTATCAATGAATCAATCATTAATAAAGTTACATTTGACGAAATCTTTGAATAGTTTCTGTGTATGAGTGTGTTTTAAACATCACATTTACCCATTTTATGATCATGATGAATACTTTAACACTAAAACTTCCATAAAAGATAAAAAACTATAAAGCCAGGTGTTTTCAATAAACAGAATAAAAATTTATGCATTTGATGCCTTTGCGGACTTTTGGACAGTTTCAAAGCAAGAATTATGTCCTTCGCTGTGAACTTTTTTATTTTCCTTGCTAATGGTATTTAAAATTAAAATTACTTGGCCATTTTACTGGATTTGCACACTTTTGTGGTTTTGTTTACCCTCTATCAGAATTATCAGAATGTTTTCCTAGTCATGACTGTGTGAGAGAAGAACTCTTTCATAATTCCCGTAAAGGAGATTTGTCTAAACTAAAGCTCAAAGAAGCCTAAACAAGAAGCATATTATTATATAAATTATTACAAGAAAGACAGATACTTGATTTAAAGATACAACCACATTATTCAAAATCAATATCTAAGCAACTTGACCCTGGTAGAGTTGTTCTGAAGTTTTCTCGCGAGCAAGTTCGGGTTATCAGCTAGGCGATTTCTATATTTGTGTGAGTAAGCGATTATTTCATCCTTAACTGTGCTAGTGCCTGTGTCTTGGTGTATTAACCAATTTGGAATATACTTTGGTGCTTTCAAAATTTCTTTTAATAACTTGTTTTGAAATCTTTGAATTAAAGGAGATTTGTCTAATCTACCTACTTCCATAAAGCTCAAAGAAGCCTAAACAAAAAGCATATTATTATATAAATTATTACAATAAAGACAGATACTTGATTTAAAGATACAACCACATTATTCAAAATCAATATCTAAGCAACTTGTATTTAATTACCTGAAGTAAGATTACTATCCTTCGACAATCTGTCACTGCTTCTACGTCATTTTTACAAATTGACATTGATACACCAAGTACTAAAATAATTATTATTAAAATACATTCATATAGTACAAACCCGGCATATTTAAGCTCCGGAGAACGTGAACTTTAGGATGCTTTATTGAATTGATTGAAAAGTGTTAGACTTCTGACATTTTCATCGTATTATTATAATACATTTTCATTATATAAATAAATACAATATACCTGGCCATCACTTGCAAGAAAGACGAGCAATTCAATATTCATTAATTGAAACAACTTGGTACGTGACCATACTAAATTTATTTATTAAATATTCACTAAAACAGAAATATTTAGCAAGAACACGGTTATACAAACATAGGTTTTTTTATCATTTTAATAATTTTTACAACTGTCCTGAAACGGACAACAAGTAAAATATTTGACATGAAACTGAAGGCGTTGGCAAAATACAAATCATCTGACCATTGCCAGTGATTTGTCGAAGGTCTTATCTATTGTTGATTAATGCAGAAGAAATTTTCTTTTTAATCGGGCCCTGGTAGAGTTGTTCTGAAGTTTTCTCGCGAGCAAGTTCGGGTGATCAGCTAGGCGATTTCAATATTTGTGTGCGTAAGCGATTATTTCATCCATAACTGTGCTAGTGCCTGTGTCTTTGTGTATTAACAAATTTGGTACTTTGTGTATAAACATACTTTGGTGCTTTCAAAATTTCTTTTAATAACTTGTTTTGAAATCCTTGAATTATTGAAGCGTTTGAGTTGGAAGTTGATCTCCATAGCTGTATGCCGTATGTCCAAATTGGTTTAATGATGACTTTATAGAGGTAAAGTTCATTATGCGTGTCAAGTTTTGATTTTCGTCCAAGGAGCCAATGATATCTTCTTCTTATTTCTTCAAGCTGCTTCCTCTTTTTCTTAATGTGTTCTTTCCAGGTTAGTCTCTTATCCAGGTGTAAACCTAGATATTTGTCTGCATCTGTTTGATCTATAATTTCGTCATTAAGTCTTACTGCAGGACAACTCCCTTTGCAAAGAGTGAAAGTAATGTGCTTTGACTTGCTACTGTGAACTTCTATTCTCCACAAGATTAACCATTTTTCTATCACGTCAAGATGATCCTGCAGCATTTTTGATGTGATTATGGGATCTTCATGTGTTTCCATTATGCCTGTGTCGTCTGCATATGTTGCTGTCAAAATGTCATTTTTCTGTGGTAGGTCCGCAGTGTATATGAGGTATAATAGTGGCCCAATGATTCTACCTTGAGGCACTCCCGATCTGACAGAATGTGATGAGGATGTTTTACCCCTTACACTAACGAAGAATGTTCTACCTTCCAGGTAGGACTTTATTATTAGGTATATATCAATCAATAATGCATTTTTTATTTTGTAAAGTAGGCCGGGGTGCCACACTTTATCAAATGCTTGACTAATATCGAGAAAAACAGCTGAACAGTAGTTCTTGTTTTGGAAAGCCTTGTTTATATTGTCGACAATTCTATGAATTTGCTCTGGTGTGCCATGTTTTTTTAAAATCCCAAATTGATGCTCAGGGATAACGTTGCTATCATAAATAAAGGGTTTTATTTTACTAATTAGGACCTTTTCAAATATTTTGGATAACGTTGGAAGTAAACTAATTGGTATATAACTTTGGACTTCATTCGGATTTTTACAAAGCTTCGGAATAATCATGATTTTAGCTATTTTCCATTGATCGGGATATGATTTAAGTCTTATTATACCGTTAAACAGGATTGTTATAAAACGGTA